CCCATCTTCCCATCCCAGGCCAGCTCAGCTGCCCGGCCCCCTGTGCTGTGTGCTACATGCTCTGAGCGCTGCCTAAGCCAGCCCGCAGGCCTGCCGGCGCCTCCGTCCCCCTGCCCTCCGTGACAGAGCTTGGCCCAGCATGAGTGTCTGTGCCTGAGTGGTCTCCTCCCGCCCGCCCCTCCAGTCCTGCCCCTCCTCTCTCTCACCGGGGCCTCACAATGGCCCAGTCCTGGGTTCGGGTCACCTAGTCCCGTCTCCCCTCCAGGCAGGTGCATACCTGAGCCATCAAAGACGCACAACCTCCCCTCCATGGAACAGGGAGAGTCCTCAGACTGGCTCTCAGGGCTCCACCTTCCGCGGCCAGCGCAGCCTCCTGCGAGCTGGCATCAGTAACCAGGGCTGCAGCCCACCATTCCACCCTATTGGGGGTCTTAACATGACAAAGGAACCCACCTCTGAGAAATGCAGTTTGCTACCCAGGACCAACCACGAGGCCAGAGAGGAAGCACATTGTATGTATATCCATTTGGGATTAATTTCTTGATAACCATGACCCAGCCCAAGACCTCCCCTCCCCCCCTCACCTGGCTCCCTGTCATCCCTGGAGAGCCTCAGGGACCCGGGGCACCATTGCCATCTCCTGGGGAGGGGTCTTCCCACCCACTGCTGTGTCCTCTTGCAAGAGGGTCTCTTGGCCCCAAAGGTCCCAGCGCCCACCCCCTCCGCTCTCCCATTGCGTCCTCTTAGCCTCAGCCTTGGCAAGGTGATGAATTAGGGACCAGCAGTTGGCACATCCACCAGGCAATTAGTGTTTATCTCCCTTGTTTATGTGGCTGAACAACAGTTCATTTTCAGACTTAATAGTCAGTACTCAGAAAGATAAAACTGCCTGGGTCACTCTTGGGAGGGGATTTGAGGGTGCGGTGGGAAAACAGGAGGGGACAGGAGGCGGGCCTACCCTCCGCCTCCCAGCACCTGCCTCTCTGGACAGGTGTTCCCGGGCCCCAGTGTAGCCCTCTGACCTCCCTAAGCAGTCCATCGGGAGCAGGGTGCAAACCTCTCATGCCGCAGGTGGGAAATCCAAGATCAACAGAGTCCAGGGGCTCTGCAGCTTGCGGTCCTTCAGTGTCCCCTTACCTTGGGCTTCGAGGACTCCGACTTCCTGTATCACCAGCAGGTGGCCTTGGATACAGCCCTGCCAGACTCCTGCGTGCCCGCTTCAGGGGCTGGGGAATGGGACCTGCCATGCCCACCCAGCCGCCCGTCAGGCCTGCAAGCAGAAGGAGCTCAAGGGCGGAGCCACGTGGGGGGCTCCCCCGACCCCTCCTGCAGCCTCCAGGCCAGCTCGGGCAAGGTCTGCTGGGGTGAGCAGCAAGCCCCTCACTCCCGCTCAGACCGGGGAACTGTCGTCCTGGGGTCACACATTCTATAGTCTAGGACAGAAAGGTCTAATAGCTAATGCGGAAGGAGGGGAGAGAGGGGCTCACCTAGCAGAAGGGCTGTGGGACCCGGTCCTGACTGCCCGGCTGGAGCGCGAGGCTCCGTGCCAGTAACTGCGGTGAAATGCTGCCACCTGCTGGTCGTACCCAAGAACTGCAGGATCCGCCCCCCCCTTCCCCCCTGCCCTCTGTGCCCCAGAGCTTGGTCCAACGTGAGCGTCTGTTTGAGTGAAGGTCTCCTCCCACCTGCCCCTCCAGTCCTGCCCCTCCTCTCTTGCGCAGGGGCCTGCACAATGGCCCAGTCCTGGTTCTGGTGCTGGTGCTGGTTCTGGGACAGGTGCAGCTGCTTCCACCCCGTGTCTCCCCGCCAGGTGCAGAGGCTAGAAAGGACAGGGAAATCAAACTTCCTCTCAGGTTGGGATGTTGCTGTCATCGTTATTGCTTTGTTATTGCTGATAATTCTACAATAATAACATCACACTCTCTCGATTATTGAGGGCCTGCAATGCCAGGCACTTTGCTCGCCGTTTCTGTTGCTCACAACAGTCCTTTAAGATGTTACCTCCGCTGAATCTCAGGGCGGGCATGGCGCTCCAGGTCATACCTCCAATGGGGGGTTCAGTTGGGATTCCAACCCTGCAGCCTGGCTCTGGCTCCGCACACTGCCCCGGACGCCCATGCCTCAGCTCCCCGCACGATGAAATGGCCCAGACACCCTCGCTGGGTGTCTTCCTGCTCCCCTCTTGGTTTTCCCACCTCTTCCCCAATAACTGCTTCTTACCTCCAAGGCCTGTCCACCTGCCAGGCACTGTTCTAGGACAAAATGGAATAACGCTTGATGTCACAGAGAGCATATGCCAGTGGGTCTCAAGGCCCAGAGAAGAGCTCAAAAGCTTCTGGGCCTCAGCCTTCTTTCGTTAGCGATGGGGAAGGCTACTCAGATGGGGACCCAAGGCCCTGGGCAGTCAGGGTGTAGAGGAAAGGAGAGGAGCAGGCTGGGGACAGGCAGCCTTGGGGACTTGGGAGCCCAGCCTGCCTGTCAGCCCAGTCCTGATCATGGAGCCTCAACTTGGGACCAACCTCAATATTCCAGTCCCCTGGGGCGTGGTGGCTCACACCTGTAATCCCAGCACTTTGGGAGGCCGAGGTGGGAGGATCGCCTGAAGCCAGGAGTTTGAAACCAGCCTGAGCAACATAGCAAGACCCCATCTCCACAAAAGTTTTTTAAAATAATAATAATTAGTAAGGTATAGTGGCACAAGCTTGTGGTCCCAACCACTTGGAAGGCTGAGGCAGGAGGATTACTTGAGCCCAGGGGTTTGAGGTTGCTCTGAGCTATGATGATGCCATGGCACTCCAGCCTGGATGACAAAGTGAGACCCTGTCCCAACAACAACAAAAAATTTCCAGTCCCTCCATCCCTCCTTGCTATGTCTTTATTTCACAAACTGTTGGAACTAGGAAAGGACCCCAGAAATAATCCAGTTAAAATACCTCGTTTTGTTGATGGGAAAGGTCAGGCACAGAGAGGGCAAGCGGTTTGCCCAGGTCACACAGCCAAAAGTGCCAGAACCAGGACAGAGCTCAGGTCTCCTAACCACCCAGCTAGAGCTCCCTGCTGAGCCCCAGCGCTGCCCGCTCCTCCCTAGTCTGCCATCGGGCTGCCCACATCCCCCTGAGAATTGCCCAATGCCTGGAGCTGGGTGAGGACAGGAACAAGAGAGGCTGGGTCGGGACTTAGCCCTGGGTTTGAGAGAAACACGAAGTGGAAATGAAGTCTCACTTCTCTCCTCTCTCTTCCGCTCTGGGGAGAGCTGCCTCCCCTCCCCTGAGCCACTCGGGGCCTGCAGCAGCCCTGTGTTCACCGTGCCGGGGAGGGAGGCATTCTCAAGAACAGGGAAGAAAGGGTTTCCCTGATTGCTCTATAATCACAGCTCTAAGGAGAACGGAACTGCTGGGGATTGACAGGGAGAGTGTTATGCGCGGGGATGTCCCCGCCCAGTCCCCAGCAGAGGGCCAGGGCCCCTGCCACTGCTATCCTCTTGACATCCACCTCGCTGGCCTCTGGGCTGCAGGAGGGTATCCTGGTGAGGCCCAGGCCCGGGACAGGCAGGGGCCCGGGGGATTCGGCCAGACCTGGGGCCCCACCCAGCTCTGGAGCCGGTGAGTTTAGGGCAGGGCCCAGGGAACTGGAGGCCCCTCATGGCCAGGGCTTCTCTCAGAGAGTCTGGGCATCGCTGGAGCCCAGGAATGTGGCCCTCCCGGCCCTCACGACCCCAGCAACTGCAGGCCCCGGAGAAGTGAGGGAGGCTGCAGGGCACTGGGTGCCCACAGAGGTGGACCAGCACCTGGGACAGGGGTTGTGGGGAGCAGCAGCCAACTCCAGGGACACTGCAGTCCCAGATCCTAGGGAGAGCGCCAAGGTGGCCAAAGCGTGCCTATCTCTCTTCCTAACGGAGCCTGGAGTCCTCCACGGACGCACTCGACCCCTTCTCCTTCCTTCCCCCTCGGACCCCTTTCTTCTCCTTCTTCCTCCTCTCACCCCTTTCTCCTTCCCTTCCTGAGTCCCAAGAGCCTCCTCCCAGGAAGCCTGGCGCTGGCTGGCTAGGACCCTAAAGGCCCCCTGGCCTGCAGGGTGGGGAGACCCCCATGGGGGGCCCCCATGATGGACCACAGCCACCCCATTTAGGGACTTTTGGGGGGCTCCCCTGGTGTGACAGTGAGAACAGAGGGGCCTGGCTGTCCCGACCACACCAGGGAAGGGGCGTGGCTTTCTGGACCCTCTCCCCTCCCTCCCCTCGTGCTTCCTCCTGGCTGGCAGATCTCTTCCAGGAAGCCTTCCCTGACCATCCCTCCTCCAGCCTCTGCTGGCTGCAGGGACTGGAAGTCCTAGTCTCCTTCCTCCATCCCCCAAGTCAGAAGCCTGGCTCTCTGCTCTCCCGCCAGCCCCGCCTCGGGCTTCCCTGCCCGCAGCCCCTCCCACCACGGGGGAGGCCCTCAGGTCTGCAGCCCCCCCGTCAGCCTCCACTCCAGTGCTCTGGGGTACGGGTTCCCAGCCAACCCCGGGCCCTGATCCCTCTGGGGACCCTTGTGGCTCACGGCGTCAGTGTGCCCCAGCCCTCGTGCTCCTTGTTATCCAAGGCCCAGGCCTCTGCCTTGCACCCTCATGTCCTCAGGTGGGAAGGAGCCCCATCTTTGAGAGGAAAGAAGGACGAGACTGTACACTCGTCAGAGAGGAAAAGTGTGTTCAGGAGAATGCAGCCAGGCCCTCTGGGGACCCTTAGGAAGACACTTGCTCAATACAAGAGGACTGATCAATGGTTTATTCCAGAGAGGAAAGCCCAGGCTGAACGTCTCCCTCCCCACCCGCAAGCCCCCTCCCAAAGCCCCCATATAGGCCCTGGGTGGAGTTATAGGAGGGATAACCCTACCCTGCCGCCCTAGTCTGGCCTCCTGCCCAAGCCCGAGGCCCTGTGACATGCAGCCTGGAGGGTCACCAGAGGGAAGAGCCAGACCCTGACGGGGCAGTGGGTAGGAGTGGGGGGTGCCGTGCCACCCTTGTCAGTCACCTTGTCAGTAGCTCCTGCTGTCACCTGTGCAGCCACACCTTCCACTCCAGGGGGGCAGCGGGGCCAGTCGCTATTTTCAGGGGTGGGTTATGTCGTGTCAAGGGCATTGCCAGTCCCAGTAGGCGGGAGAGAGGAACGTCTTGGCTAAAATCACTTTGCCGGCCAGGACAGCCCAGCCTCTGGGGACCCCAGACTCAAAGTGGATGCACCGGAGCCCCACGGCCTGGGCAGGGTGATGCCAAGACACTGTGAGGTTTCCCTCTGTGGCGGCCAAGGGCTGCAGGCTCTGCTTGGCTGGGCATTGGTAGGTAGGAAGAGAGGACACATGGGGACAGTCTTCTCCTGACAGTGCCAGGCTGCTGGGAAGCAGGAGGTGAGGCTTTGTGGGTGACAGAGGGGCGGCTGTCCTGGCCTGCCACCTCCAGACCACATCAGGGGGACGGGGCTGTGGGCGAGACAGTCAAGGGCCTAGAGACAGCAGGGCGTGGGTGGGACAGGCAGGCTGATGCCACATGGGTACTTACTGCTGACCCCGTGTGCAGCCCAAGAGAAGGAGGGTGGTGGGTCAGAGGAGGCCCCACCTATCCTGCCCCAACCGTGGGAGGGCCTCTGAGTGCAGGAGCCGTGGCGACATTAGGAGTCACAAGGCAGGAAGGGGCCTGAGTGGAGCATGGCCCATGGGGAAGGGGGGAGGCCAGGACTGCACCGGGAGGCCAGGGAGGGCTGGGGGAGGCAGGTGCAGGGTGGGCTCCCTCCCACCTAGACGAGCACAGCAGCTTAGGAGGCGAGAGCAGCAGGGTCAGCAGAGAGAGTGGGGGTGCGGTGCCTCCTGCCTGGAGTTCACGGGGCCTCGTTGGACCCGATCCCGTTGCCTTTGTTGACGTAGAATGGCCGGTAGTGAGGCTGTGGGGAAACAAGAGTGGTCAGGGAGCCCGCTGGCCAGACCTGCCCCACCCCAACTGCCCCCCGGAAGCAGCAGGGTCCAAACCCCAATAATTCTAGGGGCTTCGTGGCCTGACCTATAAGATCTCTCTCCCCCGTGATCAGGGGTTGGTCCCTGATGTTATCAAAACCTCCAAGTTAAAATCCTAATCGGAGTTCATTCCTGCCAACTGGTGGTGAACTTGAACCCCCGCTCGACAACACGCTGGCTGAGCCTTCTCTCCACCACTGCTGCCATTCGTGTAGCCCTTTCTGCGCCACGGAGCTTCGCAGCCCTGTGCCGAGCTCTGTACGGGTGGACTCATTTCAGTTTTACAACCGCCCAATTAAATGGATCACTGTTATCATATCCATTTTATGGCTGAGCACACCAAGGCACAGAGAGGCTAGGCAACTTGCCCCAGGTCTCTCAGCTGGCAAGTAGAGGAGCTGGAATTCGAGGCCCAGCAGACTGGCTCAATTCCACCCCACACACACACAGCATCACTTCTCGAGTTGAGAAAGCTTCAAGCGTTTGCTTCTGCTCTCTCTACCATCCTCCCTGATGGAAGGTCGCATGGAGGGAAAACAGCTGCCCTAGCCCCGCACAGTCCCAGGCTCCCCACCCCGACCCCCGGGGACAGAGCCCAGTGGCAATTCTCCCAGCCTCCTCTGTGCATGGCACCTCCCGGTGATTTCATGAAATCAGCGCCTATCTCCCCCAATCACTTCATCAGGCCCTGAGAAGTCAGCCCTCCAGGCTGCAGTGGAAGCTGCTCCTTGCCCCTGGGAGCACTGTCAGCCCCTAGGGGATCTCAAGGAGGAGATTTGTCCCTGAGCTGGGGCAGAGACTGAGCCCACCCCCATGCCCCACTGATCCCAGGACAGGAGACACCATCCCCCACCTCCTGCAGACACCCAAGGGCAGTCACAGCCCCAGCCCTTGGCCTGCCTGCTGGGCATGTGCAGCTCCTGGTCAAAGCCTTGCCTGTGTCTGGGGTCTGTGGGACGCCAGGGCTGAGAGACCTTAGCTTGGACCTTGGTTAAGCCACCCCTTAAACAAAGGGAGACACTGAGACTCAGGGAGGGGAAAGGACACAGAAAAAGTCACACAGTGGCAGAGCAGGACCTGGGACCAGCTCTCCTGACCTGCAGGTGTCAGCCTGGAGCCCAGAGCAGTCCACGGGGTGAAGTGAGTAGGCCTGGGAGTGGCTGAGCCTTGCTTTCAGGAAGGCCACAGATCAGGGAACCCTAACCAGGCGCTGTCTGGTGAGGAGCCTGGAGTGGTGTGTGGGCAGGAACATGGTCCCATGGCATCCGGGCAGGTGCTCCCCCGCCCGTCTGCTTCCTGGCTGACGGCAGGTGAGAGTTGGAAGAACTATGAAATCATCCAGCTCATCCAATTTATGTTACAGAGGGGAAACTGCGGCACATAGGAAGAAGGACTCACACAAGGTCACACAGCAAGTTAGAGGGCTGGGGCCAGACCCCAGGCATCGGACCCCCAGGCCAGCCTCTCTGCACACCAGCACCTGCCTCCATTCTGCCAGCACTAGGTGCTAGCTGGGCACCGGAACCCTGTCCTTTCAGGGGTCTCAAGGTGTGATGAGGGTTTCCTGTGGAGACCCTAGCTCTGGGAGGGTGGGGAAGCATGTGGTAGGGAGGGGAAGGACCAAGTCTGGGAACAGAAACCTTCTTTTTTCTCCCCATATCTGCTTTTTGCAGTCCTGCTGTTGCAATGCCCCTGGGCCCAGCTCCAAATTACACACATGATCACTTAGTTCCCATCGCTAGCAAATTAAAGATTCTCTCCAATTAAACCAGCCCCAGTCGCTCTTTGTGGTCCAGAGCAAATCACCTCCCCATACTCTGACCTCCAAATGCAAAGCCAGCAGGAGCCAGTGCTGCGGACCCTGTTTCCGCAGAGCCTCTGGTGCCACCCACACGCGGGGGAAGCTGGCCGGCCCTCAGCAGGGCCTAACGTGGGCCTTCAGGAGAGAGACGCTCGGGGGACAGAGGCTCAGCATGTAAAGGACAGTCCCCAGTCGCTGAGGCCTCGGCAGGGGCCAGGCACATCAAGGCTAAAGGGCATTGGGGATCCTCGCAGCACCCACATTATAGAAAGCAAGAAACTGGCCGGGCGCGGTGGCTCACTCCTGTAACCCTAGCACTCTGGGAGGCCAAGGCAGGAGGATCACTTGAGCTCAGGAGTTGGAGACCAGACTGAGCAAGAGCGAGACCTCGTCTCTACTAAAAATAGAAAAACTAGCCGGGCATGGTGGTGCACGCCTGTAGTCTCAGCTACTCAGAAGGCTGTGGCAGGAGGATCCCTTGAGCCCAGGAGTTTGATGTTGCAGTGAGCCAGGATGATGCCACGGCACTCTAGCCTGGGCAACAGAGTGAGACTCTGTAATAAATAAATAAAGCAAGAAACAGAGTCCCAAAGAGGGAACCCGACTTGCCCAGGATCCCATAGTCAGAGGGTCTGGACCCCCCATGGCCATACTTCCCTACTGTGCCACTTTTCTGGTGCCTCTGGCTTAGGGTCATTAGATATCGAACCCTATATACATTTCTAACTTCTCATCCCAATAGCCTCTGTGCTGTCAGAGCTGGGCTACTATCCCCAAGGAGGTGGGACCCATGTCTAGCATATCCCCTGAACTGAGCGTTCTATAATCCCAGAGCCGGCAGAGACCAAGCTGTCATTCCGTAAGCATAGACATCTAACCACCATTTGCCAAATTAAAAAACAAGCACTCACTTTACAGGTTAGAAAACTGAGCCCCAGACAGTGTGTGCTTAGCTGGTCCCCTGCCTGTCGGTCCTGGGTCTCTACTACCCTTTGCTGTGTGTAGGCGCTCAGGCCACACTGCCTGCCTCCTCCACCCTGCAGCTAAGAGAAGTAACAGGAAGACCGGGTGCCCCTGCGGAGCCCCCTCAGTGCCCAGGCCTCTGGGCGTGCCTGTGCCCCGGCAGGCTCTCCTGGCGGCACGTCACTCACCAGCAAAGTCTGCTTGCCGGATTTCCAAGTCTGGGGCTGGGCCTTGGGGGTCTGGCTCCGCATGAGGGAGGGGTAACCTGGAAAGACAAGAGGCTCTGGTGAGAGGCAGCGCGGGCTGGGCTGGCAGCAGCACAGCCGCCTTCTCCAAAGTGACCGCCAAGCGACATCCAGCCCATTACCAAATTCAAACACCTGAAGAAGTATGCAGCAGCCGTGCTGCAACTGAAAGTCCCGGGAGCCTGGCCCAAGGGAGGAAGCAGCGAGACAGACAGGAGGAAGGGAGCCAGCCAGGTGGGCTGGGCCAGGCAGCAGGGGAGTGTCTCTCCCAAATCCAGGTCAGCATCATGCTGCTCTGCAATGATTTCCATCCACCCACTCTGGAGGGTCCCACCACAGATCCCTCCCTCCCTGAGGCTCAGGAGAGCCCTTCCTAAGCCCAACGTGTGTGACCCTCAGTGCTGGATGATGCTCCCATTCACTACTGAGCCCCACTTGTGCTGAGCACCGTGCCGGGGACCTTGCATGTCTCCTCGTGTCGCCCCATTTCTGTGAGCTCAGCAGTTTGCCCAACTTGCACAGCTTGTAAGCAGCAGTCAGGATTCGAAACCAGGTTTTGCCAGACTCCGAAACCCACGGTAATGTTCCTTCCACCCAGCTCTGCTGCTCTCCACTAGCCAGAGACCAGGCCCAGAGAGGGGCTGTCATTTGCAGTGTGGCCACCGCCCAGGGTTAGGGCAGCAAGCCCAAGAGGCCCAGAGCAGGTGGTGCTCTCTGGGCTTGGTTGAGAAGGTGCTGGTGCAGGGTGGCTGCCCTGCCACCCTCCCTGGCTCCTCCCCTGCAGACCCGAGGGATCCGTTAGGAGCTCTGGTCTGCAGAACAGTGGCTAGCACTCTGTGTCAGCTGCCAGCCTGCAGGGACAGGCAGAGGTGCCTGGGGAGAAACAGGCTGTGACCTGGACTCCAAGGAGCTCAAGAAACAAACAGGGTCTGTCCTGGGTCGGGCCTCTGTCCAGTGAGGCTGCGGCCTGCCCTGCTCTAAGTGAGGGTGGGCACACCAGGCCCAGGGACCTGCAGCACTGTCAGGCTGCGGCTGGGCTGGCCCTGCCGGGTTGGCCCCAAGAAAGGAGGCACAGTGGGGGAGGCAGAGCAGAGAACCCGGGTCCTTCCTGCATCTGGGGGTGGGGCAGCCTTGAAAGAGGGGGTTCCATGGGTCCCGAGTGGAGATTGAGAGAGGGGGATTCAGGCCTCACCTCTCAGTTCTCAGAAAGAAAATCCCATGCCAGCCACGAGAGAGGCGCGGATGGGGATGGGGTGGTGGCCCAGGAGACCAGCCCTGTGCAGCAGGCAGAAGCCCGGCTAGAGAGGGAGCTGGGGTGGCAAGTGGGGCATGCATCCCTCTTCCAGGGAACTCCGGGGAGGAGGGACCAGGACACCCAAGAAGTGGCAGAGAGCCCCCATAGGATGTTCCACCTGCCCCGCTGAGGGAGAGGAAGGGAGAGGGATGGAAAACGGCAGGTACCGGGATTATTTTTAAACAGCCCACTGCGGTCCACTGGTTTGGAAAACTCTGCAGTGGCCTGTCCCAAGGTGCTGAACTGATAGGGGGTTTTCCCAGTGCCTGCTGGGAGAGAGAGAGGCATTAGCAGCATGTTGCTAGTCCCAGGAGGGGCCAGAGGGACTCACGTCTCACTCTGGGGGGCTGTGACCCCCGGAAGCCACTGTCCAGCCTCTGGAACTGGCCTGGCAGCCGTGAGCACGCTCTGCCCCAGGGTTGCTGGGGTGAGTGCAGGGGGCTCAGTCCACGCAGGCTGGGGTTATCCTCCACACAGGGCAGCCCCTGTCCAGAACCCTTGTCCAAGGCCATTTTCAGTGAGCCTGGTGAGCCTATCTGCATGAAGGTGAGAAGAGGTGATCCTGGGCTCTGCCCCTCGGGCAGAGTGCATGTGCAAGAGGCTCTCTCATGGCCTTAGACAGAGTCTAGCAGGCTGAGGGGGAGATACTGGGGAGTGTGAAAGCTCCAAACCATGCCTGAGGGTGACCACCTTTCCTGCCAGGGGGCTTTTGGTCCAGGCTTGACCAGAGAGCAGGAAAGGCAAGTCCTGCAGCTCACCAGGCCTGGCCCAGGGGTAGGACATCCCCAGGGGTCCTGCAGGCTGGGACCCTCTACTCGTATTCCCTTCTCCTTTGCCTTACTGATAGCTCCAAGACTCCCTACCCAGGCATAGGCTGGGACCCCAGGCTGGAAAGGACAGCTGAGTCCTTTCCAACTATGTCCCTTCCAGTCTCCAGGCTGGAAGAGACATAGAGCCACCTCAGAGGCCACTGCATGGGGTCTGTCTGTCTTGAAAGTCTGTTTCCCTCCCCACTGTTCCACCCAACCTGCTGATGCTTCTTCCAGGCCAGATGTTTTGGACACCAGAAGAGAGACAGAGTCACTCCCACCACAGCCCACCAGAGCTGTCCCTGGAGTCTTCCAAGAGAGACATGAAGGCCTAGGATCTATAGCTAGGGTCTCATTCAAGCCTGTCCCTCCCCAGCATGACCCCAACCCTAGGGAACGGGAGGCATTGACCACTCAGCTTTGTCAAAGAGTGCTGCAGAGCACAGCGGCCTGGTGAGGGGCGTAGGGAGAGAAAAGAGGCTAGGACTCAGGGTGCAGGTGCTTTGGAGGCAGCTGCCTGCCTTTCCCAAAGCAGCTTCTGCAGGACTGGCTCTGTGGGCTACAACCAACGCTGGGAGTCGCTGGGTGAACAGGGTTAAATAAACTCTCTCCAGTAGGAAGGCAGAAGCACCCCAGGGTCTTGGAGGTGAGGGTACAGTGGGTGTGCCGTGCCCCACCTTCCTGAGCATAGAGGCCTGTTGTTGCACCATTAGGGGCCAAGTGTGGTGAAACAAGCCCCCAAAACGCTGATGCGGCCGAGTCCCCCCGACCGTCATTTAGAACACAGACTGTGGTGACCTCCCTCGCTCTCGGCCCAGGGCCCTCTCCTTTTCAGAGTAAGGGAGGACCTGGCCAGAGAGGGGGCACAGACCAAGGCAGGGCTGGGGAGCACGGGCAGGCGGGGAGAGCTCACCTTTCAGGGAGAAGGAGGAGCTGCCCTGCACTGCAGGCAGGTCGTTGTCGGAGCTCTGAATGGAGGAGGAGTATTCCCAGACCCGGGAGGTGTAGTTACCTGGAGGGGCAGAGAAGGGGCGTCAGACCCAGGCAGCGGGACTTGAGGGGCAGGATTGGGATGTGGCCAATTCCATGGCTCTTCCTCTCCAGCCCCTGGCCACGTCTCAAGCCAGGATGCCACTGTGTCCCCAGTGGCACATCCCCAATCCTGCTTGCCATCAAAGTGATCTTTCTAACATATAAAGAACAGTCATGTACCTGCTCTACCTAACGGCCCCTGTCCTTAGAATAGGGACAAAATCCTTAACTCGGCCCACAGCTCCTTCCCCCACCATCCCCACTGGCTTCCTTGCTTCCCCTCCCCTCCCCCCATCACTCAACATCCCAGCCAGACTGAGATCTGTGTCGCACGCACCAGCCTCTCTCCTGCCCCAGGCTGTGTCCAGCCCAGGTCCTCTGCCTAAGACACGCCTCCTGCTCCCCACGCTTAGCAAGTTCACATATGGGGGTCCTCAGGTGTCAGCTTACATGTCACCGCCCCCAAGTCCACGAGTGCCTCGGCCCCATACCCACGTCACCCTACACCCCGTCCCCCAGGCTGCAATTGCACGTTGGATTGTCCATCTCCCCAGTGGGCTCCATTTGAGCTGTGTATGTGCCCGGCTGGCCCCGCACCACACCTGGTGCCCGGCACAGGGCCTGGTTCCTAGAAGGTGCTCGCTGCGTGGTTGGTGGATGCACGCATGAACGCGTGAACAAATAAGTGCACACACATCCTCAAACCTGAGGAGAGAGGCAGCTGATCAAACTCCTGAGATACTATTTGGCAAGCTGAATAGGCTAAAAAAATGTTCCCGTGCAAGCCTGCCCCTGTAGTTTGTGGGGGTGCGGGATGGGGGTCAGGCCAACTCAGATGGCTCAGCCTTCTCCAGTGCCCACCGGGCCCAGCAGTCCTCCCCCCTGGCTGCCTGCAAGGAGGGCGGGGGCTGGCCTTTGGGTCAGGATCACGGATGGCTGGGGCTGCACCTGACCCAGCGCCGAGCCCTCCCCAGGGGTATCAGGAAGCCTCTGCCTCGGGGCCCTCAGTGGGCACGTCCACCCAAGGTGCAGCTCGCCCTGTCCTTCACTCTCTTCTTCAACTACTGTCCCCTGAGCCCCTCCTACTCTTGAGGCTTGGGGTCGTAGCAGCACACGGGACAGACACGGCTCTGTCCTCATGGAGCTCACATCTACTGCACGTGTGGAGGTGGGTGCAGTCGGTCACAGCTGTGAATCCAGTTCTGGGCATGGAGGCCCAGCCCTGCCCTGTCCGCCGGGTGCCCGGCCCTGCAGTCTCCGTGGGCCTTGTCCTCACTGAAGAGGCTTCCCGGGGCTGTGTCTGGGACGGGGCTCTGGCGGAGCTGGCCCAGGCCCCTCCCTCCCTGCACATGGCTGGCACACACCCAGGAGCCCGGGACAGAACCAGAGCTCATCACGGCCCTGGCCTTGGGCACAGCAGCCCCCTCGGCACTGGGCACAGGGAGACCCTGCACTTGGAAGCTGCCCCTGGGGAGGCCACGTCCACACCCCCACTTCACCTCTTCTGGGTCTTAAGGTGTCACTCCCTCGCCTCTCGTGGGGACAATGCCTCCTGGGTTTCCGGGGATGGCACCGTTTCACATCATGCCTGCCTTTCCATTCACGGCTAAGCTAATTTGTTCCAACCACGGTACGACTGTCAGCGGAGAACATGCAAATCCGTAAAGGTCCTCTGTGGGTCCTCAGGCCCTGCCACTTGCTGGGGTGGCTGCTCACCCCATTTCCCCCAAATCATCCTTCAGAGGTAAGAGGAGCAGGTGGACTTGGCGATTCCCAGGGATGTTTTTCCTCCAGCCTAACTAGCAACGTCCTGTGTGTGCGCACACACACACACACACACACACACAGACCATACGCACACAGACACACAGACACACACACACACACAGACCATACGCACACAGACACACACACACCATACGCACACAGACACACACACACACACACACACACAGAGACCATACGCACACAGACACACACACACACACACCATGCACACACAGACACACCATACACACACAGACACACACACCATACACACACAGACACACAAACAGACACACCATACACACACAGACACACACACCATACACACACAGACACACCATACACACACAGACACACACACAGACACACCATACACACACAGACACACACACCATACACACACAGACACACACACAGACACACCATACACACACAGACACACCATACACACACAGACACACACACAGACACACCATGCACACACAGACACACCATACACACACAGACACACCATACACACACAGACACACACACAGACACACCATACACACACAGACACACACACCATACACACACAGACACACCATACACACACAGACACACCATACACACACAGACACACACACAGACACACCATACACACACAGACACACACACAGACACACCATACACACACAGACACACCATACACACACAGACACACCATACACACACAGACACACCATACACACACAGACACACACAGACACACACTTTAGGCTCAGCAGGACTCCTCCCAACCCGTGTCTGGGCCCCCACATTCATCTCACGCTGGGGAGCCCAGCCCTGGCCCTGACCGCACCCCCTCCTGCCTGCACAGCCCCCACGGGCCCTGCCCACCCTTGCGCTGAGCCTCCACCCACCTTTGGTGCCGTAGAGATTGCCGAAGTTCTTCTGGCTGGTCTCCTTGGAGAAGCGGCTGGGCGAGGAGGGCTGGTACGATGTCCGGGCCCCCCCTGTGAGACACAGGAAAAGAGGGCGTCATGGCAGAAAGGGGGTCGGGCTCAGCTCAGGGCCTGGGCCTCTGCCTGGAGGGGTCCGATGCAGGCCTCCCTGCCCCCACACGGCGCCCAGAGCCTGCCACGGACCTGCATTCCACAGGAGAGGTCCTTTGGGTCTAGCACAAGGTAATCGCTTAGTTTCTCACCCAGATTGGGACACTTATAAGAGTAGAAGGGGCTGTATTAATAATTGCGCTGAGAGCATCAGGTGTAACCCTGGGTGGTCCTGGAGAGACTAAGGCTTATGGTCACCTAGTTGGGGGGCTTTGGGGTTACTAGGAGGCTGGAAAAGCCAATACTTCCCTCCTGAGCCAGCCCCTGTGTGAATGAGACCCCAGAGGCTGGGAAATAGGGTGCAGGGGAGAAAGGGGGCATGGCAACTGTGGGGGCACGGGCAGGGGGCTTGGCCAAACCAGGGTTGAGCCACCTAGAGGTGCCCTGATGAGCTGGGCCTGAGAACATCCCCCAGGCACCCAACAGGTGCTGCAGCCTAGCCCTGGGGCATCCGAGCCTCATCCCACCCACCTGGGCTCCACAACAGCCTGGTGAGGGGGGCAGAGGGTACCAGCACCCCCACCTTACAGATGAAGACCATGAGCTGCTCCCTGCATGTGTTGGGGTCCTCTGTAGCCTCTTCCCCTCTGCCAAGCCTCAGACTACACCACACCCTAAGTCCTGCTGCCAGCTCAGCACCTGCAGGTCCCTCCTGGAGCCCTTGGTGCCAACGGTTCCTCTCCCCCACCCCATCACCCCCGCCCATCACGGTCGTGCCTGTTTATGGAGCAAACGCTTCCTTGGAACTGACATTCCTGGGAAAGTCACAACCACTGCCCAATCCTATCAACTCCGAAACTCCCAGATTCTGGGCCTGGTGGCCCCTGAGTGGCCCGAGTGGCCTTGTTTCCCAACCTCCTTGACAACTGTCTTGGCCCTCCCCTGGCCTCTACCCTGAGCCTGGGAGCTCCCAGAGGGCAGATTCCGCCTCCCTCCCTCTGGGGCGCAGGCTCTGCCCACGGGCCTGGGGCAGGGATCCAGGGGAACCTGTTCCTGCCACCACAAACGTCACACGCTGACTCACAGCGACAGGGCTAGCATTTGAGTTCCACCTCCCTCCCCTCCTCTCAGATAGGGATACTGAGGCCAGAAGGAGCAGCAGCCTCCCCAAGGTCCCCGTGTCCTGAACTCTTGGGGTGACATCTCGGCAGGTCCTTCCCCCCACCAGGTGCTGCTCTGCTCCCCTCCCACAGCCTGCAGGGGCTGGGCCCTCTCCCTTTGCAGGGCAGCGGGCATGCGGGGGCCGGCAGGGACGTGGTGCCACAGCAGGGCCCAGTCCCTGGGCCAGCGGGGCACAGGACTGGGCCGGGGCGAGGCAGGGGCGGGCTGAGGAGGCCGGTCAGCACAGCTCATGCTCTCGTCCCACCCAAAAGGGCCATACCAGGAATGTTGGAGGGGGGGACCTGAGAAGCCCAGGTGTTGTTTTCAAATCGGGTGGGGCCGCAGAGGTTCTTCTCCACTGAGCTCATCTCTCCAAAGCCCCAAGTCCCTCCCGCGTGCGTGTGTGTGTGTGTGTGTGTGTGTGTGTGTGTGTGTGTGTGTGAAAGAGAGAGAGAGAGAGAGAGAAAGAGAGAGAATTACCACTCAGGGCCTCGCGGATTCCCTCCCCAGCCCCTGTGCCTTCCCCATGTCCCCCGCCCCTGCCCCTGCCCCGCATGTGCATGCACACACCCCTCTCCCCCCGCAGCAGTCTTGGCACGCCCACCCTTATGTAATGGGCATTGTTGTGGTTTGCTGCTATTGCCCAAGAATGTGACAGGCCACCACAGGGCAAGGACAGGCAGGCACTGGTCCTGTACCCACCTGGCCATCACCCTACAGGCTGGGACTCCACAGGGTCTGAGGGCCCAGGTGTCCAGGGGAGGAAATGCAGAGGAGGAGCCCTCCCCCCACTCCCCCTGGGAAGCAGAGGTTCTGGGGGAGGCAGCTCCCCAGCAGAGCTCGAGACCCACAAAAAGCTGAGCAAAAGCAACACGCAGCTCCAGCCTGGCAGAGGTGGGCCCGGGAGACCCTCTGGAAGGAAAGAGAAGCAAGGGTGGGTGTGGGCTTGAGGTGAGGGAGTGGGGGGGCCTGCCTGGGTGGAGGGAGGGTCCCTCCGAGATGCCGGGCACCAGATAGTGTGTCATCTAAACCAGGACACTTCTGGTCATGATCTTCGCGGTGACCACGGGTGGACAAAGGGACTTCTCCAGGCAAACTGGATACACAGTTACCCCCTCCAGAAGGCACCTGGCTGAGAGTCCCTCCACAGACTCTGGGGGCCCCTAGTAGCAGGCGGACACCAGGCCTGGGCCTCAGCCTTACCCTTGGGCGTCAGGTACATGGAGTATCTCTTCATGGGGTCCGGCCCAGTCCACTCACTCCCGTAGCTGTTCGTGTAGTTGTTCATGTAGCGATGGTCGCCACCTGGGGAGGGCAGAGGGCGGGTGGGTGGGCAGAGGGGCAGGTGAGGAGGAGGAGCTGGCACTGGCCGAGTCAGCCCACAGTCCGCCACTCTGTCCCAGGGAGAGTCCAGGTTCTGTGGCCTTGGAGAATGTGGCGCTCTGCTGCTGAGCTTTTGGGGAGCGGGGGTGTCTGCAGTGAGCCAGCCCCCCTCTTGCACTACCCATTTGTGAATGTGAGCCCAGGCACTGCACTTTGCAGTTCCTGTTGTGCTGTTGATATCCACTTCTTGTTTGATCTGTACATCAACCCTTGGGCAGGTATGAACATCCCCGAGTGACAGATAAGGAAATTGAGGCTCAGGAGGTAATAGAAGCAACTTGCCTAATGTCACATGTCAACAAGGACAGAGATGGGGTTTGAGCCCTGGCCCCCTACTTCTGGTCTCAGTCCCAGCCGCTGCTGAGAGCCTAAGGTGGAGGAACAAAGTCCCAGGGATCCAGGAGCTGAGCAGAGCGAGCTGCTACAGGGGGACACCCACCTGCAGACCCCCCAGCTCAGATCTGCTGCTCAACGCTTGACTTCCCCCAGCTACCCTCCACCCCGTTCCCTTCTCTTATGACTTCCCCATCTTCTACTTTCTCTGTCCTGCCCTCTCCCTCTCTTCTGGGCAAGAGGAGGATGAGTGGCTCAGACCCTCAACCCTCATCCTTCATCGCCTGTGCCTAGCAGGGGCCTGGCACACGGTAGGTGCTGAGAGCATAAGCCATTGCCCTCCTCCGTGCCAGCCCAGCCCTCCGCCCCACCGAGCCCAGGGAGGAGCAGCCTGGTGCCTCAGTCCCTGGGCCTTTGGGGGTTGGGATGAGCCCCTGGTCCAGTGGGCAGGTGGCACCAGGGCGGAGGGGATGGTCACTCCAAGGTCTGACTCACCAGCCACCACCCCCTGCCTCCTACAGCAGACACACTCCCCACAACCAGGCAGTGGCCACAAAATAAAACAACGCAGAGGCAGGGGAGCCTCCCCCAGCGGCCCCGGGCACAGGTGCGGGCAGCTGAATCAGCAGTGCCCATCCCTGCTCCTGGTGCCACCTCGCTGCACACCTTGTACAGGACACAGGGCCACACCTGCACAGAGGCCATGGCCGGTACCATCGTGACCTAGAAATGGGACAGCCAGCCGTGGGGAGGCTGAACAGTTCCCGAGAGGCTCATGGGCCACCCCGCCCCAGTCAGGGCTATCCTCCCAGGCGGGGCCAGACCTCACCTGAGGGGTGTGTAGCCCAGGAACGATGATTGTCACACTCCTCAACCCCACTGCTGCAGCTACTGGCAGCAGCAGCCCCTGGGATGCCAAGACACGGAGGCTGAATGGCAGAGTGCTAAACCCCTCCGAACTTCCTACCTCACTGCACCCTTTGAAAGAAACGCTTCCCTAAGCCTCAGCCTTCTGTCTGTAAAGTGCGATCCCCCCCTCGGGGAAAAGACTGCAACGTGCAGGACGAGCTCAGCACAAAGCCCGGTACCCAGGGAGCACTCAGTCATCGTCAGCCGCCGTCACCATTAGTGTCACCCTATTGTCATTAGAAGGAGGATTTCAGGATCTGAGTGCCGTTTGAAGCCAAATGATTGTCTTGCTGAAATGGCTTATCTGTCCTTGGATGTGATTGACGGTCCCCCACATTTCACGGGGGCACTATGTAATATCACTGTCACTAAGGTACACAGAACCCTGACCCTTCTGCACACGCCTTCTCCTCTTCACCCCAAAGAATCATGTGCTCCCTCTAGAGAACAGACTGGGATAATTTTCTTTGGGGTGTTCGTGGCTGGAAGTGTAATCAGGTTGTACTCTCATGGCCCTGTCTCTGGCCAGGGCCACTGGGTGGGGCGTGGGAGAAAGTGCCCAGGCTTTGGGCCCTAAAGGGACTGGCTAGAAAATGACTTTATATGAGGCAGTTGCTCAGGTTTGGAGGCTTTCTGTGAGACAATTCAGTTGACCTCTGCAGGGACAGCGTGAGTCAGATGAAAAGCTGCCTTCAGGGAGCTGGTGAGTCACAGAGACGCTGTGTCCCACCGTCCCCAGCCCATCCCACCAGGCCAAGTCCAGCCTCTGGCTCAGGGTGACAGGCAAGTTCTCCCTCCAAGCACGGCTGCAGTTCTAGGTCACATCTGCCGGAGTCTGCAAAGCCACCAGCTCACAGTCTGCCCCCTACAAGGGGCAGCATCCATGCAGCTGCTGGATTGGGCCTGACAATCAGATGTAGATCCGAATGAAACCAGTCCCTGAGTTTGATGGATGGCCGCAGAGAGGAGGCATTTGTGCAGCCAGTGCCCGGATGCTCCCTGCTCTGGAGGCCCCTTGCAATAGTCGCATGACTTTGGCAGCAAGTTCAAAGGGGGGTCAGAATCCCTGACTCTTATGTGGAGTGGGGTTCAGGTGGGTGGGAACAATGAGGGCACAGCCAGCTGAATGCCAGCTGCACCAGGCAGCAGGAATCGACCTGGGAGAGAAACGCCATGGCCTTGGGCCAGGCCACTAGAGGAGACCTACCGTTCTCCATGTGGTTCCTCTCAATGAAGTTACGGCCCAGGTCCGCCTTGCACATCTTCTCAACGTGGCGCATGCACACATTGAGCAGGTCGTCCTTGAAGTTGCCCAGCGACTGCCCCAGGCCCTCCCCCTCCAGCAGGACGTGATACGTGGGCAGGGGCGGGGGGAGAGAGTAATTGCTCATCAATGCGCCAAATTCCTACCAAGAAAGGAAAGAAGCCATTATTAACATCCTGGGCCTTTGTGAGCTATGAGGACCCTTCTCCGCAGGGGGCTGTCACGGTCCAGCTGGAAGACTCAGCGCTGGCTGGGTGCTGGAGGACCTGAGTTCTAGCCCCGGCCCTGCTATTAACTAGCCCCGCTTTTTCTCACTGGACATTCGTTTCTTATTCTGTAAAGTGAAATAAAAGGTTCAACTGAAATCCACTAGATGCCAGCATCCCTGATGGGACTAGCATTCAAATATGTGACTCCGCAGTTCCCACCTCTAAACCAGGTATGTCATGTCTACAGCATAGAGGTTTATGAGACAGACACGAGCTGGGGGGACTTTGGGAGTGAACCCACTAAGTAAATGCAAGGAATTATGATGACCAGCCCGGTCAGTCTTGGTGGTACTCCCACCTTCACAGGCCACGCTCAAGCCCGCCTGGATGCCTTTGCACTTCTCACTTCTCTTGCCCCTCTCCGGAGACTGCTTCCTCCTCAAATCCTAACCAGCCTTCCAGACCCAGTCCAGACTCCTCCTCCACAAAGCTGTCTCAGGTTTCTCCAGCCTGCTTGCCCTTCTCTGAGCATCCACGGGCACTTATCTCCGGAGCCGTAGGCTTTATCATTTAATTACACACTTTCCTATATTGTTCCCTAATTGTACATGTCTTATCTTCCCAGCTGCATTGCAGTTGCTTGGGGGCAGAAACCATGTCTTACACTTCTCTATTTGCCACAGCACCTAACGGAGTACTGGGCACGCAGCGGTGCCTAACACACTGTAGCAGATGGAAGGATGGAAGGACAAATAGACAAACAGACCAGATCAAAGATAACAAGGATGCTGCACTCATGTGCCGCTCCCCCTGTGCCCAAAGCAGGCATCATTAATCAATCACAGAACTCTTTCTTACTGAACCTGGAGCACTGCTGGTACATATCAACCAAAGTTGGTACCAAGTGATATCTGTGTGCCCTCTTGACAGCAAGGTAGGGAAATGGATTGTTTGGAAGAATTAAATGGACAGATGGAATGGAGCTTGGAAGGATGGTTGGATGGATGGTGGATGAATGAACCGGTGGTTGGATGAATGAGGGATGAGGGTCTGGGAAGGTGGATGGGGAGACTAAGGGGTCGAATGGTTGGAGGAGTCACTTGTCACCTGCAGAAACAGCACCGAGTCGCTGATGCTGTGCAGCTGCTCTCGGGTCTGTTTGTCCTCGTGCAGCACCTTGGCCCTCTCGTCCAGCGCATCCACGATCACCTTCACCTGGTCCACGGCATCCTGCTCCCGCTGCTCCAGCGCAGCCCTCACCTCCTCCTTCTGCTTCTCCAGGTCCCGCACCAGGTCCCGGAAGTTCTGCTCCAGGATGGCCTTCTCGTTGGTGGTGAAGCTCTGGGTCCAGAGTCAGGGGAAGGAGAAAGCAGAGTTTAGTAAGGAAAAAAAAAAATCTCCCTAGTGGGATACATCTTTAGGTTCCCAACACAGGATCAGGGCACTCCCACTGTCCCAACCTGGGAAGCCTATTTGGCAAAGAGTCTCAGTCAAAACACCACTGAGGAATGTCACCTGCTGACAGAGATGGCCAGGGGTTTTTTACAGCCCACCCTTCCTTATCCAACTATGGTTCCTTCCACTTGGCGGGATGAGCCATCACTCCACACTTGAGTGACTCCTACGGGCCCAGAAATTCTCTCATGCCGCAGGACACATTCCCAGAAACCCCAACCAGAGCCAGACATTATTCAGAAAGTGAACTGGCTGGCTGCTTACGTAGCCAGGGTCAAGAGTCAAGGATTTCAGCTTGTGATTCGCAACTACCCAAACCATAGCAGACATACATTTAGCTACACTGGACAAGTAGGGCAGAAACGGCATGTGTTTGGTGGCTGGGTAGTCTGGTGGGCAGAGCAGACATTGGAGGACATTGGAAGACACATTAAAGGACAGATCTGGGATGATATTTGCTGGGATGATATACAATGAGGCCAGAGCCCATCTGGATGCCTGGCCCAGGCTGAGAAGGGGAGTGGGTGGGAGAAGCCAGAAGAAACAAGCATGGGACATCAACACGGGCCTGAGACCTCGAACAGGAGCCTAGGCCTGCCTCCTCCCAGGCACGACAGGTGGGGTGAGGGTGCAGCCACGTGATCCTGGGGGCTGCTCACCTTGATGCGGTCCTTCTCCTTCTGCCACTTCTCAGCTTCATCCTCAATCTCAATGATCTTGAGCTGCAGCTGCTCCTTTTGCAGTGACAGCTCTGTCTGCAGGGAAAGGGATTGGGTTGGAGATGTCAGGAGGAGCAGGCGGAAGAGAACCAGAGAACCAGGGAGTGGGTCCACCCAGGAAGCAAACTCTCAGGGCTCATCACTCATCCTCTCAGCCCTTCATTCAGCAAGTTTTTGTCGAGACCTCAGGTCTGCCAGGTGCCGTGCCAGTCGTCAAGTTCCAGCAATGAGTCAAACACCACCTCGCCGTACCTCAGGCCACCAGGGCCAAACATCCTAGCCATGTCTTTATAAGGGCTAAACCTCTGCCTGGCTCCTCCACCCAGTATGAGCAGGAGGAAAGCTCATTTATGGGGTTTGTCTCCTTTCAGTGGACCTGGAGCCACTGGGGAGAGAAAGGAAGGGGACCTGGCCCAGCTCGGGCCAGCCCCACCCTGGGGAGTGTCTCCCGACAGTAACAGTGCACAACGTTTCTATGGCATGACGCGGGCCCGTGTTGCAAGCAGGAGCCAGGGTTGCCGCTGGCAAGGGCTCCGTCTGGGCAGGCACGGCCATAAACCTGTTTATGAGAAAGGGAATGTATTCTGCAGTTTTGGCAAGATAGGAATTTTTACCCAGCGACTCTACGGAAGTAGAAGACTAGAGAATGAGGCTGAGAAGGGGAGGTTCCAGGGACCCCTGCTCAGGGGAGGATGCAGACTGCTGGGGTCTGGGGTGAGTTGGAGGAGGTGCTATCAGGAGGGTGGTGGGACATTGGCTCCATATCTCTACCTGCCTTCCACTCGGGGAAATGCCCTTCTCTGAAAACCAGCTACAACCGAGAGGAGAGGGGCGGCACGAGGCTAAGGCCAATCCCATTCAACCAAGCCAAGAGGCACCTCTTGTTCTGCTGGGCTCCCCTCCAGGACTCTCAAAGCCCCTCCAGCTTGGAAGACAGGTGGCTGAGCTCCACCTGACAGGCAGGAGGACCAAGGCATCCAAGGCAGCCTTGGATTGCTCACGACCTCCCCGCGCAACTGAGTTTGGAATGCAGAGTCCCACCCCTTTCTCTGGCTGTCTCTCTGAGTGACGCAAAAGCGTAGTGAAGGTGAGGAAGCCACAGACCAGCAGGAATGTGAGCTCTGTGGGCAAGGAGTCACGAGCACTGGGCTCAGAGCTTCTCCACACGGCACACCTCCCGAACACCCACCAGGCCGGAGGTACCATGGGGTGCCTGCTGCGGGGTACCATGGAGTGCCTGCTGCAGGCTCCCAGGGAATGGACTCGATGGTAGCTAGCGCTTCCCTGGCTTTGTAGGAAAAGGTGCCCGGAGGGTGGGCAGGCCTGGGCCAGGGGCCACAGAGCTCCCCAGACAGAGCCCTTGATCCCATGTCCTGCCCACCCCCAGCAGCACCACACTGCTGGGCTCCCTGGGCAACCAGACTCTCAGTTGTTCACAGTAAGCATCTGCCCTCCACCCCACCAATGGGCTGGAAATCCCATAGCACGAACGTGCCGTCATCAGAGATGGAAAAGAGCTGTCGAGAGGAGAGGACCCTAAGGAGACAAGGACAGGGATTTGGCCTGGTCTCTGGAAAAAGGCCGGGAGAAACCAGCAGCCGCTAGATACAGAGGGCCGGTGGAGAGTAAAGGGAGGAAGACCCACCGCTGACGCGGGGACTCGACCCTCACACTCTGAGGATGCAGAGCCCCAGAGCCCAGAAACAGGCTGGCAGACCCAACAGCCACGGAGGCCCCTGAGGAGCCGGGCGTGGCGGGAGGATCTGAGCTGTGAGGAAGAGGCCAAGAGGCTGGACAGTGGGTCTGTCCCGGGCAACTGTCCCGGCCCTGCAGAGCTCCCGAGACAGGCCTGAGCTCGAGGGGACAGCGGGAGCCCCCCCCTACCCACTGCAGCTGAGATTTCCTAATTGGGCTTGGTGATGGAGGAGTTGGCGCCTCAGTTTCTCACCCTACCCCACCGCCCCAGAACAAGGCTTGGTGGGGAGGAAAGCAGGGAGCAGAAGTGCATCCCTCCCCCCACCAGGCCTGTCACAAATGGGGAAGGGAAACCTTCCATGACATGAGCCATGGGGACCGGGACCAAGTTCATCCCCAGCACAGGATGGGGAATCCAGTAGTTGGAACCTGGTGACCAGACAGGTGGCCTCCACCAGTTCCTTCACTTCTCATGCCTCAGTAGCTCCATCTGTTCCACAGAGGCGGTGAGAGGACCTCCAGGGAGGCTGTGGGATGGACTGGGATCAGGGAGGGAAGCTCCCAGAAAGAACCTGGCACACAGCAAGCACTGACTAGGGTCCCCATCGTCACTGCTGAGTGGGCACCTTCCAGGGTCCAGGTGCTGTGCTGAGTCCTTTCACCCGCACCATGCCCAGAGGAGGGAGTGCAGAGCGGTGGGCAGGAGAGCCAGGCATAGGCAGGCGAGGGGAGCGGGCAGGTGTGGTCAGGCGAGTTTTGGCGGTGTTCAGTGGTGAGGACGGTGTGTGTCGTTGGCTTGGGCTGCAGATGTAGTGCGTACACCGTCCAAATACAGAGTAAAGAGAGAGGCGTGCAAGGGGGATGGGGAGGCTAAGACAGTAGGGCCGAAGATGCAAGACAGAGCTTAGCTTGTGGACAAGCGAAGATCAGAGGAAGCCTGGGGGCAGGGGCGGGGGGACAGGGTGGAGGTAGGAAAAGGGGGTGAGGGTGGGCTGACCACCTGCGAGTGGAAGAAGGTGTGACCAGAGAAGGTGAAGGCCAAGGAGGCAATGCCTGGAGTGAGCAGAAGTGCACAGGGGAGACCTGCTGGGAGCAATGTGGCTGGGGCCGAGGGTGAGGAAAGGTCTCCCCAGGTGAGATGGATTCGCTGGCCAGGTGGGAGGAAGGAGGCATTGAGTATGGGGGTGGAGAATCCAGCAGGGCTTGGAACAGTGAAGTGTCCAGGCCAAGGGCAGAGAGAGGCCAGCCCCTGGGATCCGTCCCGTAAGAGAGTGAGGGAAGAAGGCGGCGGGGCTGAGGTATGACAAGAGAGCCGGAAGTGTTTGCAGGCGAGCTGGAAACCTGTGAGGGCAGGGCTGGAAGCAGAGACAAGCTGTCTGCAGCAGTGGGCGGAAGAATCGGTCCGCATAGAGGACAGACGAAGCCTCCTATTTCTTCGGGGCGCTGAGGAAGTAGGACACAGGCTGGGAAGGGGCCTTGCTCCCACAGCACGCCTCGCAAGACCAGACTTGCAGGGCCCAGCGGGCTCTCGGGAGGGACTTCGGGCTGGGAACCCTGTGCTGCTAGAACAGTCCTTTCTCACACTGGGATGAGTCCTACCCTGCAGGGGGAGGAGCGTGTGGGGTGAGACCTCCAAGGATGCTGCTCTTGGCAATTTTCCCTGCACAGGAAGTAATGCATTAGGGATGGCTCCAAAGATGTTGGGCTGTTCTTCAGCACTAGGGGAAGGAGGGAATGTGACTTTGATTACTAAGCATCTACTATGTGCCAGGAATTTCCTCCTTTAATCTGCAAAAGCCCATTTTACAGATGCGGGACACCAAGGCCTAGGGACATTACGTAGCTTGCCTGAGTTCACATGGTGAGAAAGCGGCGAGGCCAAGTTGCGACAACAGGACTCGGATGCGATTATGTGGCCTGAAGAGCAGTGACTGCAGGCTAGCCTCTGTGTCGTCTGCAATATTGTCCCTCCCTTCAGAGCGAGCCTGGGTGGCCAACCCCACCCAGGCTCTCTCTCCATGTCTCAGATGGTGCAATTTGGAAATTCTACCTCTTTCTTGGGCCCCCCTTTCTCTCCCAATACCCTCCCCCTCACCTTCCTCTCTCCCTCCTCCCTTGGAATGTGGTTGAAGCCCCTGATGTGTGACAGGGCCTCAGCTCCCCACAGCCCCACCCCTGCCCACACCTCCCTCCCGACTTCCTCCTACTCCCCGCTTCATTCCCTCACCCTGCCCAGGCCTGTCCTTAAATGCCTGCTTTGTTCCCTTCTCCCACACTCGTCTGGTGATGTCTGGGATGGGCCCTGCATGGGCCACCCAGCCTTGAAATCCTTCGGTCTTGGGTGAGCAGAGGTTTCCCTGAGAGCAGATGGGTGGCACAGCAGCTGGCAGAGCCTTGGCCTGGATGGCGACTTCAGACACAGACACACCTGAGCACTTACCTGGACAGATGTACCTGCATGGCCCCCGGGGAAGGGGAGATTGGCCATGATCTTCCCCTAGCCCGGATTAACCACAGGGACTGTCAGCGGTGACATTTGCCAAATGAACCAGTTAATTGCCAAATTTGTACTCTCAGACAAATGGTAATTATTGGGATAAGAATCTGAACTGCTGGATGGATTTCCCCATTTCCACCCAGATGTCAAACAGCCCAGTGTCAGTTGGTCCGCTTGACTGGGGTTCACTGTTCCTTCTGCTCCCTCGCAGCCTCAGCCCAGGGGAGGGCCAGACAGGGCAGGGAAACACCACCCTGGCTGTCTGCGGACCAGCGGCAGGCCCATGGGGCAGCCACCGCACCTTCCTGGGCCTTGATTTCCTCATGGTGAAATTGGACTTCTGATTTCTGATTCCCACCTGGCTATGCATCATTAGAATCCCCAAGGGAGACTTTTAAAAACACAGTGATACCCGGCGATTCTGGTCTGAGGACTGCTGTTTAGGAGCCACTGGCCTCAGTGATCGCAGGGAGACCCTTCCAACCTTACGGGAACAGAAAGGTTTAAAATGGCAGAGAAGATTCCCAGCTCTGCCACTCCTGAATGCTGTGACTTGGGTCAGTCTCTTGGCATCTCTAAGCCCGTTTCTTCACCTGTGAAATAGGTGCAATAACCTTCAGCCCGCAGGACTGCTGTCAGGAGTGACCACGCAAGTGCCGAGCCCAGCACCTGGCACACAGGTGTGCTCGGCACAGACTGGGTTGTCTCCTGCCTGCCTGTCACCTTCCGCCCCTGCTTCCTGTCTCTAAACCTCTTTTGTTTTGCTTCCCTCTCAGCACCCAGAGAGGCATCCTACCTCCTTTCTCATCCACCCTGCCCCAGAGCAGGCGTTCTCCCCCAAGATCTCCAGGGGAGGAGATCTTAAGCCTGGCCCCTTTTCCCAAATCCCAGCCACTGCTGTCTGCCAAAAGAGCTTTCCCGCCCAGCCCAGCACAGCTCAGAAACTCAAGGGCTAGTGGCTGCCCCTGTCCAGCAGCCTGGTGGCACAGCCTTCATGGAAGAATTGGACAATGAAGTGAAAAACAAAGTCCTGGGCCATGGTGGAGAAGGGAGCCGGGCCCAGTGTTGGAGCCAAGAAAGGACGAGGTGCTGTGGCTGAGCCCCTTCAGGGTGACACTCGTGGGTGAGTGTCTCCACATATGCCTTTCATGCTGTCGCCCCAGAGCCCAGGCCAGACCAACGACAGGGCAGGGCCACCCCAGAGCAGGTAGGTGTCCACCTGGGAGGGGTCCTAGCATCCTGGTGTGCTGCAGCAGGAAAGAGTTGAGATGGACAGAAGGAAAGGACACAGAAAGGGATGCACAGGAACATTTTAATCTCACCCACCTAACCTTGCCTGGGAGATGTTCAAAGGCAAGGGGTGAACAGGAGGCATTTAGGGAATTCCCTTGTGACATCTGGCTGGAACTAGAAACATTCTGACCCAGGGGCCACCAAAAGAAGAGACTGTCATGTTGTCACACCAAATTACCTATCTCTAACAAGGACTCAGCTGGGAGTCTGTAGGTAGAGCTGAGGCCCGGGAGATGAGCACCCACAGCCATGGGTGTCATCTATAGCCCCACGCAACCAACCGAGACAGGTCCAAGGTGACCTCACCAGGCCTCCCCAGCAGGCCTGCAGAACAGGTTCTGCACTCGGCTCCTTGCAGAAAGCTATGTGTGGGCCGATGTTTGGGTCTGCAGGAGATGCCTCAAAGGATGCCGGGACTGGCATGCTTGCTCACGTTGGCCACCGACCCACTAACCCCGCTCTGTGCTAAGGTCCCCCACATCTGACATTCCAGCAGAGCCAGGCCTAGACAAAATGCTCCACCCCAGCTCAGAGCCTCGGCTGCTTGGCCCTGCCTCCCCCGGCTCTCCCTGTGCCGCAGGTGCACGCGCCTGTGCACACACACGCACAGGCTGCCCAATGCTCCCACAGGTAAAGTCACCCCAGTGGACCTGGCATTTTCTCCCAAAGCACATGTATCCTGAATGCCATTTCCTCAGGGCCCTTTCCTGGACGCACTCTCAAACGCTGGAAGAGGACTTAGTGGGCTTCTTCCTGGAACAAGAACTTCAGACAGGTCCCTTCCTTTCTCCGGGCCCGTGTCCCATCTGCAAGGTGAAGGAGCATTGCCAATACTCCACCAGGCCTGCAGTCTGCCCTCTGGACATTTACTTACAGCTGCTTCTGTGTACCTGGGCAGGTGCTCCGCAGTCCTGTCTGCGCGTCTGAGCTCTGCCTCCTGACCTACATCTCGAGTGTCAAGGACAAGGATAGTGTCTGTGTGTCCCACGGCAGCCCCCACACCAGAACGTGAGCTCTGAGCTCCTGCCACCTCCAGACAGGGCTGCCCAGGACACTTCTGCCCACCAGAACCTCCTCTTCCAGGGACATTCAAGCTTTTCTTAAGTAGAGACACCCTTGATTCAGCTAAAATTGGGGGCTGGACTCTACATAGAAAACAGATTAGTAAGAGTGTGCTTTGCTCGCCATCGAGGTGGGAGGCTGCACCTCTGTCTTCCTGGCACCTTTTTGCCTCCTGCCCCACCCTGAGGCCTCAAAGGCATTTCCAAGAATCCTAGGGCTCCGTGGGGTAATTTGAAAACCAACAATCTAGCCCCAGTCCTTGGTTTCACATATAGGGAAACTGAGGCTAAGAGAATAGAAGGGCCTTATCCATAGCTTTACAGCTAGTTAGAAGCAAAAACTGGGTCTGGGACTCGGTCACATACCCTAAAACCCGTCCTAAGGCTCAGCAATTTCCTGGTGTCTGTGGATGAGGATGGTCACCCTTTGTTCTGTTTGGACTTCCCGGTAGGCTCCCTAGGAATGGATCTCACAGCCCCTGCCCCATCTCTGTCTCCCAGTATGAACTTGAAGCTGGGCCAGGGTGGGAGGATGGGGGGAGCTGGGAACATCTTCCTGCCAAATGAGGCTTCTGGACAGGATCTGTTCCCATCTCTAACTCGCCCCTCCCCGCCCAGGGGTGTGGGCGAAAGGTGCAGGGAGAGAGTAATCAACAAACTCGTGGTCAGGGAGGCCGGGCGGGGGGGGGGGGCCTGTGTTGCCCCATCCTGAGGGGTGCAGAGGCCCTCGAGGAAAGCTGAGTCCCCTGCACTGGTGGCCAGGAGGTTTGTCCCGGGGAGGTGGCCCACAGCAGAGAGCTGTGTTGCTGCAGAGGCAGTGGGCCTAGCATCTGTGGGGAAAGGGCAGCAGTGCAGCTGGGCCCTTAGCCCAGTTCACCTTCCCCAGGGTGCTACAACCACAAGCCTGCACTCGCCTCTGCTCCTCCCCATGGAAGTACAGGCAGAATCACTCACTTAACTCACGCAAACACACTCACCTATCACATACACAAATATACGCAAACATCCACAAATGCACATAAACACCAACATGCACATAAACCACACACATATACAGATGATCCTTGACTTACAGCGGGGTTAATTCCCAATAAACCCATCATAAATTGAAAATATCATAGATCGAAATTCATTTAATACACCTAACCTACCAAACATCATAGCTCAGCCTCACCTACCTTAAACATGCTCAGAACACATACATTAGCCTACAGTTTGGCAAAATCATCTACTAGAAAGCCCATTTTATGATAAAGTGCTGAAGATCTCATGTACCTTATCAGATACTGCACTGTACTAAAAGTCTATCGCTTTCACACCATGGTAAAGTCGATCCGTCGTTAAGCTGAAGACGGTCTGTCTACGCACGAACCCCCACCTTCACTGGTAGTGTCCATCTGCAGGCATAGGCACGTCCACACGCCACCACACATGCAAAGCACACCAGGCCCAGCTGAGACAAGGACAAAGGAGGCCGTGGGGGATTAGATCGAACAAGCAGCCACTGTACCGCAAATACAAACTGCAAAACCAGCAAAAAGGACCTTACTGTGGCCCCCAAAATTCCCTCCTTCTGGTGTCTTCCCTTACCCACCACCCATTCCCCAGGGGCCAGTCCTGCTCAGGTGGGAAGAATTCTCTCTCCCTTTAAGCAAAAAGAAGAGACACCCCAGCCAGGCAAAGCCCAGGAGGGAGTTCTCTACCCTGATGTGAACTGAACTTACCCGTGACTCAGTCAAACCTCCAATCTTTCTGAGCCTCTATTCGCTCATCTAGGAAATGTCCCTGTCTCCCGAGACCTCAGGGGATTGGGGAGCCCCCTCTGCTCCCCCACCCAGCCTGGAGGGACAGAGGGGAAAGAAATGTTTTCAGAAAGAGCCAAGGGTAGCAGAGACATAAGCCCTCCACACCAGGACGCCCAGTGGAGAAGACCAAGGTCAGAGGGGCAGGGGTGAGGGAGGAGAGGCCTGGAGGGGCAGCCAGGGGCCCCGGCACGCTACCTCCTTCTCGGCCTTGGCCTCTTCCACCGTCACGGTGCTGTGATTCTTGTGCTCCTGGAACATGCAGAGGTAGCAGATGCAGGTCTGGTCGGTCTGGCAGAAGAGCTCCATGGTCTTGCCGTGCAGGGGGCACTTGCGGGCCTCGAAGTCCCGGATGGGCTCGAGCAGCTGGTGGTCTCGGAAGGCGGCGCCCTCCAGGTGGGGCTTGAGGTGCAGCTCGCAGAAGGAGGCCTGGCACACCAGGCAGGACTTGACGGCCTTCTGCTTGTTGCCGATGCAGGAGTCGCACAGCACCTCCTCGGAGCCCGGCTTGGGCCGGGAGAAGAGGCCCGCGTCGGCCCGGGGGTAGCTGTTCCGCCGGGCCTCTCCCGGCTCCACGATGGACACCGTGGGCTTCCGGGGCTCCGAGAAGATGGACTTGCGCAGCTGCAGCTCCCCCTTCTCAGCAAAGGTGACTGGCGGCTTCTTGGCAGCCCCCAGCTGGAGCCCCGCGTACGGTGACCTCCTGCCTTCCACCGAGTCCATGCTGAAGTAGTTGGAGCTCTTGTCGTCCGAGGACTCGACAAACTGGATAATGGGCCGCCGCCACTCGTTGCCCGAGAACAGGGCGCTCTTCCCTTCCCCTGGCTTCAGGGTGGGGCCCAGGTTCTTGCCCTCGGCTGTCTCGCCACTGTGCCCGTTGGTGGTCTTGGCATCCTTGCCGTCGGCCTTGGTGCCATTCTCCAGGCTGCCATTGGGGCCCGAGGGGCCTCGGGCATCCCTGGCTTCCGGGCTCGACCCGTTGCTCCTGGAGGCATCTGCAGCTTCCATCGCAGGTCGCTTGGCTGGTCTGTTTGGGGCTCACGGGGGCTACAGGGTGGGAGACCTTTCCGGCGGGCGTCTCGGCAGGGAGTGGGGCAGGCAGCCACAGGGCCCAGGGACACACCTGTGGGGAGAAGGGGAGGAGGGTGGCGGAGGGAGGGGCAGCAGCACAAGCCTGACACAACGGGCCCAGGGAGAAGCCGGCGGCTCTGCAGCCAGCAGAGCAGCTAATTACTCCGGGAGCCACGCCCTGCACATTCATACCTAACCTGGTTTTTAAAAGAAGTGCTGTTTTTCTCCCCCAGCTTAATTATTTTCCACAACTCAGCAACCAGTTGGGCTGCTCCCGTCTGACGCACTTGCTTCTCATCACACCAGGGGAGCGGGGGCCTCTGTCCTCACAGGTGGGCAGGCTTTGCTGGGCCAAGGGGCCCCTGGGCAGAAGGTGAGGTGTCCGCAGAGGCCCACAGGACAGGGGGCTATTAATTGGGTCACACAAGCCAAATAGCCTTATAATTTTCGGGCCTGAATTTCAGAGATTCTCCACCCCGGGACAGTGGAGTTTCTTCTCACCTTAAAGGGAAGTCCGTGTTCAGTTTGATTTGGATTTTAGGGCTTGGAGTGACATGGCTACTGATTATTGAACCCTACCCGACAACTTCCACACACTGTCCTAGGTACTTCACATACATGAGCTCATTTGAGCCTCGCTACAACCTGTTCAATTGTCCCTTTTTGTTAGACAAGAAAACTGAGGCTCTAAGAAGAGAACTTGCTGGCCTACATTGAGTGGGAGAGCTGGGATTCGACTCCCAAAGCCCTTGAGATCCCAAAGTCCCTTCTTCAGCTAGGGCCCCATAAAGCCTCCCACATCTCACCAGAAGAAGGCTTCTGGAAGTCTTTCCCGTCCCAGTGGCCCTAACAAGGTACATATAGATCTTAAGTTATTTATACCAGAGCAAGTCAGAACCTGCTTGGATCCGAAGGACAGAGAAACAGTAACCAAGGGAATCCAAGCAATGTCAGGCCAGGTGTTTGGGTCCTCAGGGACTCTCACCTGTCTCCACAGTATGTTCGTTGTGTGACTCAGAAAAAAATCTGCCTGTCCTCTTTGGACCAGGCCACAGGTAATACCTTCCAAAAAAGGACCAGTGGAGTGTGGGACTCACAATCTCAGAAGTAAGCTGTTCATGTATGACTATCATGTAAATACAGGCCTCAGGAAGAAAAGTGAGAAAAACAACTCCATCCTCCCCTCTCCCTGGTTCCCTGCAGGAACACTGGGGACCCTCAGCTCTGTAGGACATGCCGCCCAGGCACCTCTGGGCTGTGACCCCCTGCCCGGGTCCTGGGAAGCCAGCACCCCTCAACCCGGTAAAGGGCTGTGCCTCTCCCACGCCAGGCTGCGCAGGGCAGAGCAGACCGTGGGCGAGGCTGGTGGGGCAGGTTCTGGGCCGCGCAGAGGGGAGTGGGTTTCCCTTCCTTCCCCTCAAATCCAGGTCAAGTTCCACAAGACCCCGCCCCTTTGGCTCGCCAGGCTGAACAGCTAATCGTTTGCAATAACAGCCCCTGGGAAAAAGGGCAGAGACAAGCCTGGCTCACAAAGCAGTTGAGTTTTAAGAGGAGGTGTGTGGGGGCGGTGTTGGGGGTGGGGATTCCTCTCCCACCTGAGGTCTCTGTCCTCAGGCCCCAAAGAGGCTCCCTTCTGTTTGAACTCACTGGCAAGTCAGCTAAGAGCTCAAGGGGGCTTCTGGGGCAGGGCACCCCATCTCAAAGAGCCAGGCCCAGTTTCACTGGGCTCATGCCTGAGGCCTGGAGAAAACAGGAGAGGGAGAGAGAGGAGTACTGTCCCGATCTGCTGGATGGGGACATGCCCCTCTCTCTCTCTCTGATGGTGTCTCTCTCACCTGAGAGAACAGGGTGTCAGGAGAAAAGAGCAGGAATGGCCAACAAGCGCTGAAAATAATGTTCAACATCATTAGTCATTAGATAAATGCAAATCAAAACCACAATGAGATACCTTTCACATTTACTAGGATAGCTAGAATTTTTTTTTTTTTTAGACAGAGTCTCGCTTTGTTGCCCAGGCTAGAGTGAGTGCCGTGGTGTCAGAATAGATGCTCAGAAAGCATTTGTGAGCAGGTGGATGGACAGATGCATGGATGGATGGGCAGAAGAAACAAAAGCTAGATGGATATGAATGGGAAAATGGATGAATGAATGGATAAGAGATGTGTTGATGATGGATGAGTGGGTGGAGGGATATTGGATGGATAAATGAGCAGATAGTTGGAGAACTGGATTAAAAAATTGAAAAAAGAAGGAAGGAAGGCCGGGTGCGGTGGCTCATGCCTGTAATCCTAGCACTCTGGGAAGCCAAGATGGGTGGATCGCTCAAGGTCAGGAGTTTGAAACCAGCCTGAGCAAGAGCGAGACCCCATGTGTACTATAAATAGAAAGAAATTAATTGGCCAACTAATATATATAGAAAAAATTAGCCGGGCATGGTGACACATGTCTGTAGTCCCAGCTACTCGGGAGGCTGAGCCCAGGAGTTTGAGGTTGCTATGAGCTAGGCTGACACCACGGCACTCACTCTAGCCTGGGCAACAAAGCGAGACTCTGTCTCAAAAAAAAAAAAAAAGAAGGTAGGAAGATAGGTGAGAAGGAGAGAGGAAAGAAAATAGCAAGGAAGGAAGGAAATAGATAGGCAGTAAGTAGGTGAGTGAGTGGATTGCAAGGGTGTGCTCATAAAAGTTTAGCAACTGGTTCCTCCAAGGTGAAAAAGCACTGGTTTGTAGTGTTTGCAGATTTCTCCCACCAACATGAAGAGCACTGGGAAGAGCTGCACACAGCTCTCCAGAGCCAGCATGAACCTGCTCCGACACATCGCTGGAGGACTAGTGGGTGACCCAGGAGGAGGCACGGATTATGGGATGGAGGATGGAAGCTGGGTGCTGGAGAGGCCACTCCCAGCTGTCCCACAGGAGGAAAACAGTTGCAGTGCTTCAAGGCAAATGGGAAGACAGGCAAATTTCTGTCTTCCAGGAGGCTTTCCTTTGGACCCAAGCCTACCGGGTTTGCTGCCCCACCCGCCCCTGTAACTTCCGTCTGTCCTACTCAGAAGGCATTTAGCTCAGACTCCCGAGGTTGCCAATTATGCATTCCTGCACGCGTATTTATTGGGCATCCTACTGTGGGCCAGGCACTGAGCAAGGGACTGATCGTGGAGATGTGCATGAGCCCCAGATCCTGCCACTGGGGAGCTCACAGTCCAATGGGAAAGGAGATCGGGCAATCAGTTATCTGAATCTGGCATGAACAGCGAATGAGGGAAATATGTGCGAGGGGCTCATGCTGCCCCGAGGAGGGAGCGCCCAGGATGTGCTGGGAGAGGCCTGTCCCTCTATCCAGGCTGAGCGTGGCGCACAGAAGCGTCCGCCCCGGCCAGACAGGGATGGTGTTTGACTTGACTCACAGATATTTATTCAGATGAATTCTGAATTCTGGTGCCGCTTGACTTTGGCTTCTCCTAGGCTCCACTCAAATGCCTGGTGGGAGGTAGGGTCTCCTGGGGTCCCCACAATGCAAGGGCTAAACAGACCTTCTAAGGGGAAGAAAATAGAAACACAGCTGTCCTTCCAGGGCCGGCCCAAGCCCCCATCCCACCCCCTCCCATCCTGTAGCCCTCCTAGAGCTGAACCAGAGAGCTGAGGATTTCCACCCCTTGAGTACTGAGCTCAGGGTGAACACTGAAGACTGTCCCTGGGAAGGGCTCCCCCAGACCCCTCACTCTGGCTCTGCCATCTGTGCCACCTAAAGGCCTGACTTCATGCACCCCCATCTGCTGGGTTCCTGACCCTCTCCAGCCCCAAATCCAGTTGCAGAGTTTCCATAAAAGGCCACTGCCTGATGGCCCTCTGTGCCCATATGTCATATGCAATCTGGCAAAAAGCCCCTGCAGGCCACCATATCCACCACGGTGGTTGAGGGAGGGCACTGAAACAGGGGCACCCTCATTTTTAAAGGCCTTGAACAGAAGAGATCCCAGGAACCTCCTCAGTCATTCCTCCTCCATCTCATCCTGTTCTTCCTCTGGTCTAGCTCAAAGCCTTCCTGCTGCAACAGTTCTTCCTATACCAGGTGGTGGCGGAATTTGACTGGCTGCCAGCCCCTACCTCATCTCTTGTCAGAGCTGGCAGGTGTGGCTTCCAGAGAAGGATCCTTATGAAGCAGGGGTGACTTCCACCTCTTCCCACCTGGCTCTCGCAGACCAGGCCTGCCTGCCAGCCCCTCCTCCCACGCCCACCTACCAGTCCGCCCCAAGCCTCCTCCCAGCTTCTTTCATGAGGCATCTCAACGCCATTCCCCTCCTGGAAGCCTCCCTTGATTCAGCGGGTGGAGCAGCTTCACCCACCCACAGCGGTGGCCTGGTCACACCTGATTCTGTCACGAATCATCTTCAGATGAAAGAGGAAACCCCTTAAAAGGAGAAAACTCATTGAGCTTTTTTGGAATCCCAGCGTTGGTGGAATCTTAGGGTTAGGTGGGCACGATCAATTGGTTCATCCTTCTGCCTCTGGGCAAGCAAGGCTTTAGCTAGAAAATCTTTTTTATATATCTTTTTAAAAACGATATATCCTTTAAAATACCTGCAAGGAAAAAGATTTCACAGCCTCCCTCAGCCATTCATTTCAAGCTTCAGGACTATTAGCTGGGGGAAGTTCTTCTTTGAGTCTAACTTAAATACTCTATAAATGAAAGTTTACTGTGCAGTTAGAATTGAGGAACTGAGCCTCTGGCCCTGCAAAGAACAAGCCAAGAGGTAATTGTATCTGTGAGGGGAGGGTTCCGCTCGTCTTAATGCTTACACGGTTCTTTTGACTTCTTGGTAACATTGTTTTTTGGGCGTACCTCCAGCTGTAGACAGCAGCAGGAAGGCTATGGTAGTTCAACACTTTATAGCAATAAGATTTCTGAAGTCTTAATTTTCTCATGTCCGATCTCCTAATGCAATGGAGTTTATCCTGAAATTGGAAGGATTCAGATTATGTATCAGGAAGAACTCTCTAGATTGAGAAGTACTGTTTCCACTCCCATAAATTCCTTTCTTGGAAGAACTTCTAAAACAGGA